ATAAGGAGGATCCTGCAAAATTTACATACTGCTTTAGATTTTGTGATGAACTTGCTTATTATGTCGTAAACCTTATCAGAAACCCTATCATTTTCATGCAAGAGTAATTGTTATTGGGAAAATTTCTTAAAGCAAACGTATATGTTTGTTTGCTTGACATGAAGAAAGCCTCGTTTTGTTCTTCCTTACACGTCACGGACAATAAGAGATCGTTGCACATCAGCCATTGAATAGGAATCACTTAAGCGTCTGTCAGCACTGTCATACGACGGACGGTTGCGTAATTAGTGGAATGAATATGGATTGACCATATGCGACGGAACCGGCAAGGACAGTTCGCTTTTGGCGAACGAGTGAGGGAAGGAAATCTTCACAATTTAAAGTATCAAGTCCTAATCATCGTAGTTGTGCTGTCAGACTAGATTTTCTACTTTTCTTTGCTGAATTGCTGATCTCACTCCTCGTTTCCTGAACCGTTCGTTTTCGTGTTTGTACTAGAAGTTGATTCATTGAAGAGACCAACACCTCTGTATTAGCCCAACGGTTTAGCGTCGGTTATTTAAAAGGTGACCGAAATCAGCTTAGGCAGCAGATGCTTTTAGACTAAGGAGCTTTGTGGTTACGTAACGCTAGCCACAAAGGTGTGGCGAACGCTGAGGAACAGATTAGTTCTCGACAGAAACCCATTAAGATAAACAAACATAGCGGTTGGTCGTGGTGTTACTGGATCACTGATGAAACGTCTGCGGTACGCTTTTCTTCTTCAACTGATGCTTATCAACTCAGTGGAGGGCTTGAGATAAAATCCATTGGTTATGGATTGCACTTGCGTTCGTTTCTGATGAACGTTCATGGGAAAGTCAGTGTTGGTTGTCCATCCTTGAACTTGTTGCCCGAAAAAATTGGATATTTAAGTAAAGACCGTAAAGTTATCGCTGAAATAGCCGTAACCCCAACCCCGTTCACCTTCATTAGATGTACAATGAAATGCTTGCATGCATAAAACATAATCGCTCTCAGAAGATTTCATAGGAATGCATTGAGCATCGCGAGTCGACGTTTGGAAAATCTTGGGGACCAATTGAATTTTAACTGCTTTTTCAATCATTCTCTTCGCTTGTTTCACGTTTCGCTCGTATTAGTATAAGAATCCTCAAAGTATTTAGTTTCCTTTTTTGAAGGGATTCTATGAGCACACACGTGCGTCTTTGAGCTGTCGTGTACGGCTTCCTCTGATTGTCTCTGTGTTCTCTTCTTCACAGAGGAGAATGTCAAAAATACGCGCCCAGGAAAGCATGAAGAAGAGCGTACGAATGTCCGTCGAACAACGAGAATTCTCATGCAGAGCAAGATGAATGATGCGATGCTGAATGCTCTGCCGACCGCCATTAGTACATCGGAAGACAATGACGTGATTTACAAACGATTGTGAATGCTTCCATCATTCTCTTGTCCTCGCACGAAACGGAAAGTTTTTAACAAATTTCTGAATCTCATGACCAGTGTGCATTAGTAGGTGACATATCATAGAAGGCATAACATCATGGCTACCCAAAATTCGAACAACTCTGTAAAAATCACTCATAGATTCTTGAATCATTAACTGCCTCCGGTATTGCCCATGCTTGACACATTAGGTAACTATGTAAAAGCGCGGAAACATAAACATGTGCTTATAAAAAGAAGCTCTCGGCGTTGATCAATCCCTGAGAGATGCGCCATGCATTCGACCTCATTAAGTATCCTTGGAGTTGACTGAATGCATATCTGGCCTTTACAATGACTCGCGGTGGCTATCGATGTCTAACCAGTACTGCTATCCTCCCAGACAAGTCTGGTACCAATTTGCCGACCCCGGAGGGATGAAAGACTTGGTGAACCACGGGTGCAGGGATCGATCCCATGTTTGCGTCGCAAGGCGCCTCTGACCACTGCCTTTTTAAAATGTGCTTATATGAACAATTATACATTTTGCACTGTAGAAAAATTTGTGAGGCATTGAGAATGTATTCTTGCATTGAATCCATGAGTTTCATCTTCAATATTCTTCTTCATTATTCCCATTTTACTACTCCTCTTTTTTTGCCCACTTTTTCGCCATATTCATTCTTTTTATTCTCGTGGTCATAATCCTCGTTCTGTTGTCCACATGACTTGACCGGATGGTTCTGCGGATGGCGGAATCCAATAGTGTCACACCGGAAGTATAGACTGAATCGGAGCGCACCTAATAGACTTCGTTAATTTCGCCTCGATTCCAAGGCGAAATGGCTATTCTTCGAGTGAATGCGTAGAAGAGGCCATTAAAGGAGGTACACAAGATGAGATTCTAGGGAATGAGTAGATTTGAGGAACGTTTCCTTTAGAAAGATATCAAACATTTACTTTTTACCACTTAGCAGAAGTAATGAGTACAACATAACTAATCGAATTTAGTTCAGAATGCTCTTCCAAGGTTGATGTTTAGCACTGCTCTTTCACCCAGAATTCAACTTGCTACACTATTGGAAATACCCATTCTTTTACTTATTCCGGCAATTCACCTTCAGCTTGACACATAGTGAGAGTCTTGCCCTTTATGTGAGTTTGACCACAGACTTCTTGTACTATTCAATCATAAATCATTTTAAGTATTCACTTTGCCAGACCCTCCATGCCCATTCAACAACAGCTGTTCCACTTCAATCCCATAAGGTTCATTTAGAAAAAATGCGGAATTATTCCGTTGTGTTTTAATCAGCTTTTGCATTCCTTTGTGGCTGTTACTTGATTCCACTCAGCAACGAGGCCACTGTTAAGCTCAAATAACGAACAGGATTATTGAGATAAGAATCCGTTAAACTTGGCAAGGCGGGAGCGATCAGTAGTGTTCCACTTATTTCAATTTGAAACTGACAAAGGTTTCCACGCTTAGTTTTACCATAGATTCTTTCTCTATGTGGGTTTTAGTAAAACAGACCTGATATCAATTGCGTTGAAGGCATTTTCAATAAATCTCATCATCAAACATTCATCGTGAGTTCCTTCATAAGAGTTCTGAAAAGCAAAGGATGACATCATTGTGTTCCTTCTTGTGCTTCCGTTATAGTGTCCATAATTCTCCTTAGAATCTATAATTATCCCTCCAACAGTAATCTCCGTGAGTGGTACGTTGGAGGCAGCTGGACAGACGCGAAATTGTGCCAAATTGGCGCTGCGAAATGTTGCGATTCGTCACTCGGTGGAGTGTGCGTCACGCTTGAATGGCAGCTTTTCGCCTCAGCACTTCTGCATTCTCAATGTCCAGCGACAACAACTATGGAAACAATTTGACTTGAGGGGAGCTTTTCAGAAGGAAACTATGAGCAACCTCGACCTCGTGCATATTTATCAACCTCGTGCAAGCTTATCAAGAAAGAATACATATTGATTAGTCACACCGAGGTTTAGAGAAAGTCGGTTTCGAAATATTGTTACTACGCTTTGTGCTAGCTGATAAAAACACCGACTTCTGCACGATGTGCGCAACGATGTATGCCCGGAAGAAATACAAGTTGTTACCACCGGACATTATCATTATATATCCACCATCAGCATCGTGTATAAAAGGGCATCACTGAGTGAGAATGCCTCATTCGAGAAGATGGCTCACTGAGGAAGACCTGGTTCGACACGAAGGCGAAGCTGCAATGTCGAGACGAACAACAATCATGGACCATCGACTCGGGACTAGGACCATCGGCTCTGAGGAAAACGAAGACGTCGAAACGTTAGCCGAAAATAAATATATTTATCAACCTCGTGTAAGCTTATCAAGAAAGAATACATATTGATTAGTCACACCGAGGTTTAGAGAAAGTCGGTTTCGAAACTACGAGCGCTTGCAACCCAATGCTGGTCTTTTGTAGTTCGGAAGCGCGTGAAAAGGTGTAGATATTGTGAGCGTCTGAACTACATGAGTCTCTATGGAAGTCAAAATGTTTGCTAAAGCAGCGAAAACTTCCAATACTGGTTGGAACACTGCAAAACATTTGGGACGTTCATTTTTCACTGCTATTTTGCAAGGATTCGGTGATATCCATGCAGAAATCACCTGCTTCAAGATGGGAAAATGGATTTCTAGAACATAGAAGGGGTTCTGCAATTTCTCTAGGCTTGACTTGGAAAAAGTGTGGAATTTTTTTCGCTTTTGCTCATGTTTATTGTTGATTGTTTTCAGTTTCTTGCATTGATCTTAGCAGTGCTCGCTTCGCCAGCTTTCTCGGAAGATCTTACCGTTCTTTACTAAACGAGACCCTCATCACACATCGTTTCCGTCACTGCCCACACTATTTTTATTTTCATCATTCAGTTCATTTTCATTTGGGAGCAATTTGTTGCCACTTCAGTCGCCACTTTGTCGTGTTTTTTTGGAACATTTTCCAGATTTTATATTGGTTGAATTAGTCGGTTAGTTACTAGTTTTTTATTTTAAACCAAAATGATGCTGAGGTATTCGTAAAACTTGGACCGCAGGCCAGATCGAACCACGATTTCCTTTTCGAGGTTAACCCTCATACTCTGCCGTGAAGACTATAATAGGCAGCAAATAAAAGGTTAACACTGTGAACTTTATTTTGATTCTTATTACAGTTTTATGAAATTGCAGAAAGTCGAAAGGGACAGCATTATAGATTCCAGACTAATTTTACGTATAGTTCTTCTGGAATCGAACGGTACTATGCTTTCTAATGAGAGACAGTTTCAAAAGACTAGGAAGAATTTTGACCCTATTGCAAGATATGCATTCGAAAACATTTGGCGTAATAGTCTCTATCATTGGCCCTTACTGAGCAACAGCGTTGACTGAGGCTAATACAATATATAATTTATTTGTTTTTACTCTATTTTCCGTTCCTTACGGTTATGTATAACTAAGTGCGGTATTAAAATCTTATCAACCAATGATAGTGCTAAGGCCAAAAGAAAATTTTCATTGATCCGAAAACTTTGAAGAATAGTACACGGTGTAGACGTTGTAGGCCGAGTTGTCGACCACACTGCAACAGCTGAGTGAAAAAGCTCGAACGGCCACTGAAGAGATCGGACGACTCAAGCAGATGCATGACAATCTCAACGTCCGTGCAGTTTGAATTTTAATGGATTTTAATGGGTGTTTTTTTTCGTGGTTTGAATTAAAGAAGTGAAGTTGTTTCGTTTATGGCTTGTTTTTCAGAATACGTGCAATGATTTCAAGTCAAATCTATGCATTCAAATCGACGCGTTGGTTGAACAACTTCAAATGCGAAAGGAGCAGCTGATATGTCATGTTGAAGAGCAAAAGGACCATAAGGTACTCAGAGTTATCGCCACGGTGTTGAACTGTTTAGTAAGCACGTCTTCAGTGTGGACACTCATCATAATAACATATGGTTTTCGCTAGCAGAAATTGAGTGCCTTATAAAAAATGGATAGGATAAACTTCTGCTCCAATCTTCTTTTCTGATGGGGTCAGTATGACCTGTCAGGATATAAAGGAATTTAGTCAGCTGTTATCAATGTTTCTTCACTTGTTTCTCTGTCATATTAGTTTTACTTAAGAAGCAAGTGCTTCGAGAGCAAATATCGCGATGTACGGCGAAATTGTCCCGAACAACTGGACTAATTCAATTCTGTATTGAAGCCCTGAAGGAACCCGATCCAGCTACTTACTTGCAAGTGAGTCCTTCGGTGAAATACTTAGAATTCTCCGTTAAAATATTTAAACTCGTTTTACCGCAAGCCTTCTTTACGATTCTGACCATCTGCTTGTTCTATTTCCCAGCTGAACAAATATCTGTTACTGAAACTTTGATCCTTCACTGATTTCAGTTTTTGCATTCTATTTTTTTAGCCTATTTTAGAGAACAGACATCATTTGGTATCTTTTCGATGCCAACAACAGCATGCTATGTTTCTTAACCTTGTTAGTACTGCAGTACAACAGCAGCCCTCCCAATGGTTTACCGCCTCATCATAGTTGAGAGGTGTTCGTGGGTGTCGGCAAGGTCTCCCAAGGCCGAGAAGGAGTCCAACGTTTCCATCAGGAAGCCTAGCTAAGAGTAAACCAGTAACAAGATCCACCACCGTCCTGTTACCAAATTAGTCGCATGCTATCAGATCTCCCTCTGTTCCACAAGGGCAAAGACTGCCCCCGGTGGTGACGACCTGGGCAGACTTTGCCTAAGTTGAGCTCAGTAGTCCAGCGAAACACAATGGCTAGACCAACAATTCTCCGGAAAAGTGGAGATTATGCTGGGGCCCGCACAACCAGTAAGGACAGGCCATCCAAGTATCCGAGTAAGTACAGAAGTTAACGGCTCAGTTTACAAGAAAAATTAAGTTCATAAGCAAACCAAAGAATATTTTTGTAGCTCGAATGCTTAAAATCTTACTAAAATACCCTTCACTTTATGATTTTTAGTAGTGAGGAATCATCCAGTGTTGGTTTCTCTTTTTTAGCATTCTGCAGCCCTTCTTCACCGGTCAACCAGCCAAGAATTTTTATGGCACCGTGAAATGAAGACCAAACCAGACGTCGACCCAGAATTTGTATTGAATCTCGATACAAAGCATCTACAGTACTCCATCCAGACGTTAGATTTCGCCCAACTTAAGGGTAAGTACGGCTTAATTCCAAATCAATGCCTGCGCCAGTGAATATAGTATGCTATTGTTACCGACCCTTATATAGTTATTCTTTATCCGCTCAACGTAGATTCATCTTGAGTGTTGCTACATTTTAGGTAGAGTTTGATATCGATGATGACACTATTTAATTAGGTCTCCATCAGGTAATCGAACTCGCGACTCAATTATTACAGCACTCCACCTATAGCTCTGTATCCCTTGAATCTATCTATCTTCACCACATTTCTTATTTCGTGTGCAAGTGATATAACATATGGTAACTGTTCTCTGTAATCTAATATACCATTCTGGCTTTTAGCGAATCCGAATTCTCGTGTGAATGGCGACTCATCCAAAGGTACGGTAGCCATTCGTGATAGTGTTTTGTGTGCAACTATAGCACCACCGTAGAAATGCACCATTTTACTATTACTCGCAATATCGTTTCTCGCACATCAGTGCATGATATTTCCAGTGACCTTAAGCACACATATTGTACATTCTTTTACTTTTTGATTCCTAGAAATAGAGGAATATTCAAATTAGTCGGATATTACTTCCCCATTCTTCCGAATAGGAAAAAGTTTCGTATATCTCATATCAGGGCGAGTGTGATGCAGTGGTCGGAGGCGCTTTGCGACACACACACAACACACACACACACACAGACACACACACACACACACACAAACATGGGGCCGATCCCCGCACTCATGGCTCACCAAGCCTTCCAACCCTCTGGGGTCGGAGAATTGGTTAGATTGGTACCAGACTTGTACGGAAATATAGTAGCATTGGCTCGATACATTGGTACGTCATCGCGGGTCGTTGTAAAAGCCAGATATGCATTCAGTCACCTCCAAACTATGCTTAATGAAGTCGAATGCATGGTGCATCCCTCAGAGATTGATCAACGCCGAGTGCTTTATCCTTTATCTTTTATCTCTTCCCAATCAATGTAACTTTTAAAAAATGTACCCACTATCTTTAGCTCAGACTGAAACTGATGGATACATCAATACAACAGATATTTCATCACATATCTGGCTTATTATGTTCTGGAACCATTCGGAAATTTCTTACGGATAGATTTTGCTCCATGAAAGTTTGTTTTCGCTTGACGAAAGTGTACTTTTCGACCTACAGTGGATGAATAGTCTTTCATCAAGTGTCTATTTATGATTCTACAGTGACATATGCTTAATGTCTATCATTTCTATTTGGAGAACAAACAATGGAATACCTACAAGTTCATTTAGAGATTGGTATCAAGAGAAAGTTTTAGTGCCTTCTCCGCCTTTCATCGACACCGCCGAATGTTCAGCTGAAAACAACTCGGTGACGGTGGTATGGCGACCACGTCAGGACGGTTGCGCTGTCGACGGCTACAGTCTGGAAATCGACACCGGAAGGGAAGACGGCAAGTATAAGGTGAAATCAAAGCATTCATAAAGTAGAACACACTAAATGACCCAGCTTAAAGAAACAAATGACTGGCTTGGTAGGAAATCTGTACTCTAAGTAGGAGGTTGGGAGAAGCAAGGTCTCTAAAAACTATCGGGATTTCTGTAAGTTAAAAGCAAGTTAGAAGTGCTGTAATGACCTCGCGTAAACGACGGCAGACATTGGCTTATCGTCATTTTCTAATAAAGATCCTCGTTATGTTTTACACTCAGTTATTTATGTTTAGCATTTCTTAAGTATTGGTTTCCTTCGAACTAATGTTTCATATGTGATGGATGGATTTAGTTAAATAACGCGTATTTGGAGTGAGAAGCCATAAAATTCTTGCCGATGTTATGTTCAATTCACTCTCTTTCTTTTAACTTATCATGAATATAGGAACATTGTTTGCCTTACAATTTATGGGCAATTGTGGAGCTAGAATTTTCTGGATATCCGCTGTTTATCTATGAAGAAGCATTTCTCATATGTTGTATTCATTCAGTTAAACTGACTGGTTAGAGAGAGTTTATAGATCGATAGAACTGGGCAGAATACAAATTAACCTTGAATCCTCACCGAATCCATTTCAAGAGAATGACAACCATTTGACCCAGATATGGGTCACACCTAGCTGAATACGGTTTGGCCTTCGAACTCGCAACTTATAGTGGTCTCTATCAGTTGAAATAAAAACTTTTGGAATCTATAGATTTTTTCCAACAAAAGCAAATATACATACTTCATCGTGACAAGGCTCGTGGACCATAGGAACCAAAAAATCATTTTTTTGAGTTTTTGCTGTCGAGACTCCTTGGATCAACCGCACCTTCTTTAAGTTTGTCAAACCCTTAACTCCTCAACTCCTACCATTATTGAAAATCCACAAGAAGATGTCGAAGAGCACCATCGCTTTTCAATTTATTAATAACAGTGTGAAGATCTGTTAAAATTTACTTTCCAATATCAGTTTTCTTTTGTTGAAGAAAGAATGTTCAACTTACCAAATTATCTAAGTTTTAATAGTTCTCTTCTCTAGAAAATCCAAAAAACCAAAAGGATTAAAACCAGCGGTAGCCAACTCTCATTTCCTTAATTTGTGTTTCGTTCTTTCAGCCGGTCTTGCTGTAAAAAATGAACTAGTAAGAAAAATCGTCCGGTCAAACAAACTGCGGACCACTCGAGTAATATATGAGTCGTAATTGACTGAAAATTACTTAGCCTTCAATTTTTTAACAGGTATATGTCAACTTCTAGCAGACTATGGCAATTGAAATAAAGCTTGTTAGGACCAATCGATCTTTGCCGACAAGGCGCAAGGTTTCTTTATTTTATTATGACGAAATTGTGGCGCAGTGGTTGGAGGTGCCACTGCGACACACACGTGGAATCGATCCTCTCGCCCATGGCCCATCATGCCCTCTATTCCTTCAGGGTCGGCAAAGTGGTACCAGACTTGTCTGGGAAGATAGCAGCACTGGCTCGATACATCGGTAGGCCACCGCGAGTCGTTGTAAAGGCCAGATATGCATTCAATCACTTCCAACGGTACTTAATGAAGTCGAACGCATGGTGCATCCCTCAGGGATTGATCAACATCGAGAGCTTTACCCTTTTTTTATAACGAAGTTAATGTGTTTAAGTCGCACCTCTTCTTTATCTTTCTTTTCGTGAACCCTCGTATTGTATTTCCAACGGCGAAGCAGTTGAATAAACGGAGTTCGATGCACTCGTGGAGCAGTGACGTCCCGAATTTGTTGTTTGTGTTTGAAGTTTCCGGCGAGACGTTTAAATGCCATTAAGTTCCGGTTTTTGAAGCATTGAAAACTGAATATTGAAGATGTTTAAAATAGAAAATTCCGGAAAAATCAAATATGATCTTGAACGATAGGGAAAGTCTTCTTTACAAGAATGACAGTTTTGAAGTTTATAAGCACCGTAGTCATTTAAGTTTTATGTACAGTTATCAAAAAGTGAATACATGGCATTTTTCCCGCCTGTTCATGGAAATGCTTACTCATTTATAGGAAAAGTGTAGCGTACGTCGAAAAACAAATTAAATCTGGTTGAACGAACGTTCTTCAGGAGGTGTACTGTGGTCGCGACACAATCTGTACCATCGATGGTCTGCACTTCAACACCGTCTACACAGCCAGGGTGAAGGCGTTCAACGCGGCCGGCGACAGCGAGTACAGTGAGCCAATCTGCCTCCAGACGGCCGAAGGTGGGAACGTTTCTCTTTTCCATTAGCCATTAGCAATACAAGAAAGAACTCAATGGAAATCAGAATAAGTGGAAAGCAAGACATTGGTCTGAGTCGTTAGTAGCCTTTGGGAAGTTTGCCTACTTACTTAATAAGTTATGATCCGACCTTTTTAACAAATTTTCATTTTCTGCTCAGCTAAACTTATACATTTCATTATGGTAGGGATGGCTCCTTTATGTTGGTAAGTGAGAGGCCGCTACCCCTAGACAACTAGAGCATTCTTGGAAATCCCTTCTTTGAAGCGATTTTTATATAGAAATGGAGAACAGACTTCACTGTAGAGTTGAATAACAGGTATTACTATTTTCGATGAAGGTGTAAATTTTTGGAATTTTCTTCTATAGCCTCTTCCATCTTCATTCTATCCATTCAGTGGGTGACAATTTAGCGTCGTAAATCCAGATTTATCCATGACTCTGACAGGAGAATCCACACTTTTTCGATTCCGACTCGCTTCTTCATAATTACTATTTGCAAATTCTCATCAATAGCAATGCTTTCTCTCTTGCTAATGTGTCGATCTGCACTTCATCGCATCATCGCCATTCCAAGCACCGATTTCAAAGCCGATTAGGTGTCTATGAAACGACCTCTGCAAACTTGTCTTTTTCAAAGCTCTCCATTGGTCAGCGTTAAGTTTTGTTTTTCTCAGGATCCTTATTTATTTAATGAGACCAGCAAGGAGCAAAGAAGTATCATTACTTGTCCCGTGGGAAGACATAATGACACAATAATGACCAATAAGGAAACATGAAGCAGCTTAGAAGTTTCTTACGACTGGTCTGAATTCTTTACGACGTTATAAGAATATCGGCAGTATGGGAATTTCTTTCCCCTTATTCATTGTTTGAACATAAAAACGAAATGAATAGCGGAGTGTGGCATGCGTTTTCGGTGTAATGATAGGATACTAGGATACCCACTTTGAATCGCAGTATATTTTGTGTTAAAGGAGTCTTCCACACATTACACGAGAGATCAAGAACTTTCTTCATATAAAAAAGAATAAAGCTCTTGACGTTGATCAATCTCTTAGAGATGCGCCATGCATTCGAATTCATTAAGCACGGTTGGAGGTGATTGAATGTATATCTGGTCTTTACAATGACTCTCGGTGGCCTACCGATGCATCGAGCCAGTGCGGTTATCCTCCCAGACAAATCTGGTATCAATTTGCCTACCTCGGAGGGATGGAAGGCTTGGTGGGCCATAGGTGCGAGAATCGACTCCACGTGTGTGTTGCAGGGACCTTCGACCACTGCGCCACACGCCTTTTCTCTCTCTCTCTCTCTCTCTCTATATATATATGTATATATATGTATATGTATATATATAAAGAATATGTATATGTATAAATGAGTGGCACATATTCACACTCACTGTGGAATGTGTTGAGAAAAGTGTGAAACAAAAGCTGAAGATTCATTAACGCCGTCAATATTTTCCTTTCGCCAATACATGTGATTGGTTCGAAAGAAAATTAACTGGAGAAATCAATCAAGTGTAAATTTATGATGAAATATTTTGGCATAAGTGACAAAGAAAAGTAATATGCAGGGTTCCTTTTCTTGCTACTGTAGGTAGCAGCGAGAGCAGTCCTACAGCACCACGCGATGAGAATGCAGTTTGGAACAAATGCTTATCACAAAAAAATGCCATGCGGTCGTTTTATCGTTGTATTTTATTCGCCATTACAGTTGCCTGGTTTCAACTGACAAAGTCGCCATCACAACGAGATATGCAGCTGTCGAACGAGTGCAGCTCACTGACTGGCACCAGCATTGAGTACAGAACGGTTCTTGGCTCTATCGCCTTCTCAAAGGTGAGCAAAACTCGGACATCCTTGGCGTGATAAGGAAAAGTTTGTGGCAAACTGGAAAGCAGAACTTCGACCAACTGAATAGCTCGTTACCAGTTATCCTGAGACTAGAGAAAAGCGCTATTTTTGCAACATTCCCATTGAAAATTTCAATACATGAAGACTTACTGCACGGTTACTGCATGAAGGCTCTGGCAATATCGAAGTGAATAAATTCTCAGTCCCTAATTTAAAATAAATTACTCTCGTGGTTTTCATGAGTTATTTTCAAAATTCTATCATTAGTTCAGCTGTCATCGACACGATCTGTCATGTTTTATTCATGCAGTTCACGTCAATTGCACTCACGCCCTATATTTGAAAACACAACGCTGAGGAAAAAGGAAGAAGACAAAATGTACTGAATTCTCGAATGGTCCTTTTAGGGGATACACTACTGGGAAGTGAGCATCGATCGCCACGATGGCAACGCCGACGTCGTCGTCGGCGTTGCTCAGCCAACCGTCAACAGAAGTACAATGCTAGGTAAGCGTCCTAGTTGTTTTTATTCATGAATTTCACGTACTGCCATTCTACCTAGTTCACGGAAACATATGAATACAAGTTGGAGTCAGGAAACAATTAAAACTCTCCATAGTACTCGATGACCTAATGAACCGATGAGACAATAATCACTGTTCTTAATGAAAGTGCCATATTCTTTGCAAGTTGAAATGCTTCACAAGTGAGAGCTAGCCACATGAAGCGCAGTACATCGAAGTGTCATAATATTTCTACTATATGTGGCTTAGGAGGCATCAACTAATCGAAGAAAAGAATTTTATGGTACCCAATGAGAAAAAACAATGTGTATGTCTTTGCTCTAATGTTCATCTGTCAATTATACTACTTGTTTTATAAGAACCATGGTAAACACTTTTACCTTGCAAAAAGGCGTTCACATTTCGTGGAAACAAGGGTTTACCAATAGTTTTAGTTCATCAGGCTCTGCTGAAAAAGATTTGGCTACCATTTGTCCGATTGGACGCCGAACCCGACTTTCATGTAATGCTCTCCCACTGGATTGAAGTGGAAGGGTTGGACTACAACGTCCACCATATATGTACAAATCCGATTATGTACATAGGAAGAACAAGAATGAATCTTGTGCAACGAAGGCAAGGATGGGGTCTCCTGAATTCATCTGATTTACATTGTCGGTTTTATTTAACGTTCAATCTCTTGTCCTCCTCAGTCACGAAGCTCTATGGGTAGAAATGCTGTACGATAAAAACATGGTCGCTGGTTGGACTTCGCAGCGGACTAAGCAACCCTGTCATCACTCCGTACAAACTTGTCTGTAAGAAGCTGTTGCCCCATATTAACAGGGACTGGCGACTGCCCCTGTTGAAGACCTCGGATGCAATGCAAGATACCTTAGAATTCCACAGATGATTATTTCTACCAGGAGAAGATCCCGTCCCACTAAATTCCGAAGCAGCACAACAGCCCGCACGCAAATCGGATTAGCTTTATGGATAATGGATGGAAGTAAGTGAACGGAATGCTAGAAATATTGTGAGGCACGCAATATGCTAACTCAACTCCTATATCAGCAAATAGTTAATAATGAATTTTGTGGGTCAAATATTACAAACGGCAATCGTAAGACTTCAACGCATATGGTGCCAACCTTTGTTTTTGTTTTCTATTGCTAAGAAAAAGCTAATGTACACTATGTACACGCCATGTGTTATATTTAGGTTTTAAAAATTACGAATGGCTCTTGTCCATATCTTTTGTAAGAACGATTTTCTCATTTTTTTAAACAGGATGACGACAAAGAGGCCACTCTATAACAAAGTTCATTTCGAAATAAGAACAAAAAGAGGGCCATGAGGTGAATTGGACAGGTTTCCCTCTACAAGGGATTAATTTCAGTCAAACATGTTGGATTGACCGCTGTGATAATGGATCTCTTCTTTGTGTTCATATTCGCAAAGCGTAACTTTAGTGGATAAGCAAAGAAGTCCGTCGGGACATCTCATATAATACCCTTCCTTGAAAAGTAGCAGCCAATAAGTAAAAAGTTAGAAAAAAATTGGCTCTTTAAAGTTTTCTACCTTAACATCAACGACACTTTGGAGAAGACCATCATGCCCTTGTGGGTGAAATCCTCTTGGTTCAACTACATTCGCCTTCGAGCTATAAGCCTTGACGAGGAAAGCGGAACGAATGCTACTCATAGGCTCCAGAAATGTAGAAATTCATCCCACTATGACCGTAAAACTTGTATTCTGGCTGGGAAAGGCGAATGTGTTCTATTGGCTCTCATGGTAAAATTCGACTTGAGATATGGAGTGGAGATTTAAATAATTTCCAAACCGACCGTCATTTAACTTCGGTAGTAAAATAATCAACTTGTTTAAATTGTTGAGCCCACACGAAACAAAGCTATTTCATCAACCTCGTGTGAGTTCAACAATTTATACTCGGTGATTTAAAGATGGAAGCGGTCATTATTTCCTCACCACAAAAACGATATATGACTCATGAGGTCAAGAATGGCCAGAATGCAGTTTTCGTTTATTTAGTTTTCCGATAGTTTACCATTTCATCGGTGGATCAGCGGTTTTTCTGGCTACTGAAGTGAGATGGTGATCAGCGAGCGATGGATTTCTTGACGCCCATTCGAGTCATTCGATGATTAACTTGATTGCAACCAGAAAGGCATATATATATAAATACATATATGCATATATATGCGTATATATATGTATGTATATACATATGTATGTGTATATATACCGTATTTAAAGTCTAGAACTATGCAGCAATATTATCAAACAAGTCGATCAACAGGTAAACCTCGAATATAGATCTTCATCAATAACGACTGCCACTTTAGTATTAAATAGGTTTACTGATCAGCGGTGATGTAGTGGTGTTATCAGGTATTTCTCAAATGCAACAATTATCCAATATAGTGATTTATAGGGAAAGATCTTCATGGATGGTCGATGTACGTAGACGACGAACGGTCGTGGTACCTTCACAATGAGACTCATCATAGTCGAGTAGTTGGAGGAATCGGAAAAGGTGATGTACCAATGCCAGTAACAAAAAATTTGTCACCTGTGACTCAATACAAAGCTCTGCCGGAGCCAGTTGAAGCATATCGTTTTGTCGCACTCGCTCGTGAGTCGATATCAATTCATTTCAGTCAGTATATCCTTCCGCAGTATGAGTGCATATCCACCCACGCAGACTGTAGGCGTTAAACAACAACGACAACAACGATAATCACTTTACGCAATTCCAGTTTTCGGTATTATAGGAAAAATTGAAGACTACAAAAGTTGCAATTTGATTGAAAAGCTTTAGGAGGTCTTTAAGTAGTAAGTAGGAATATGGACCTACATTAAAGGTCATTCCCACATTGAAGGATTTCAAGGCACAGCTAAGGTGAATTTTGCAATTAGGTGATTATCCAAGCACCATCTGAGCAAGGACTTTATAACTGTGTAAGATCGTACCTGTGCTGACAATACTGAGTCATGTTTTGTAGTTCATGTTGAGACTACATAAGTTGCTAGTTAGTTTCATGTGCACACAAGAATAGGATGTCTATAGTGCCACAGCTGCCTCTTATCCAAACTTTTAACTACTTGGACGAGCACTATTAATAATGCTAGATAAAAAAGAAACAAGTCTCTTCAAAATCATAAACAAGTCGAGCGAAATAATAACATTGCAAATCGTGGATCAATCTATATTAAAGTTGATAACCCAACGTCGGCCACCGCGAGTCATTATAATTGTCGTTACATATCTATTTATCGAGTTGTTTTTCATACTCACTGGCTATGTGTAGCTCAATGCTTAGAAGTGCCATACTGTGCAACACATCTGTGGTCTCTGGTTTGGCCCTGAACTGAACCAACGAAGTCTTCCATTCTTTCTATGACTACATATTGGTACAAGACTTGCCTGGAAAAAGTCTGATCTAAAAGGCCTGTGAGTGCCTGAGGTTTAGCCCTGGAAATGCTCTATCAAGGCAGCTATTCAAGGATTCAAAGCAGAATCTACTGCAGCAGCTTTGAGCGACATTCATGAAGAAGACAAAATCTTCAAATGAAACCGAACCCACAGACTAACAAGTTTGTTGTGAATGACGGATACGAGATAACGAAACAAATGAAATAAGTGCTGGAATCTGCAGTAACTGAAGTCATGTACTATAAATAAAGCAGTTTTTGTTAGATTGAAAATGTCATGGGATTATCGGCAGTGTGGAAACAAGAAGTTTTAGCATTCCAGTGAAAAACACTATGTATTCATCATGTCAGATTCATGAGTTTTATGGCTGGGTAATTCATAACAATGAACTGTACGCCATCTGCTGAGATTAGTGTACAGCATAGTTTCTGCAAAATTGAGCAGTTGTTTAAACAACCACATCACAAAGCAAATTTCTGAGTCTGCTCACTTACCCTCAGCTGAAAAAGGTGTTCAGGAAGTGTGATCGGAGTGAAACTGGACTGTAATCGAGGTGAATTGGAGTTCACGATCAACGACCGGAAACGAATCTTCGAGAAAAGTTCGCTTGCATTCAGGTAAATCGGTGGAAAGATTCGAACCGATATGGATTTCATCATTTATTAATACAAGTACTATGTGTTTATAGGCATTTAGGACTTAAATTTTCCCCTCACGGTGGTAAAATTGTGGAAGTAGAAAAAAGAGAGTAGAGAACGTTCTGAAGTTCAACTTCATTTTAGTGAAAATTGAGGAAAACTGAACATCGATTGTCGTGCCTCAACACGACAGCCAACAGTTTCTCGAGAGTTTCATGAAATTCATCATTCGAAAGCGTGTGGCGCAGTGGTCGGAGGCGGCCTGCAACGCACACGTGGAATTGGTGCGCGCGCTCATGGCACACCAAGAATTCCATCTCTCTGGTGTCGGCAAACTGGTACCAAACTTCTCTGGAAGGATAGCAGCACTGGTTTGATATATCGCTAGGCCACCGCGAGTCATTATAAAGGCCAGATATGTATTCAATCACCTCCAACGATGCTTAATGAAACCGAATGCACGACGCATTCCTTAGGGGTTGATTAACGCCAAGATCTTTATCCTTTAGAGCTTTTATCTTTCGAAATATGAATTCCTAAGAGCGATAATAAAAGTGATATGTATATATAATGTACTTATATGTATTAGTACTACCCCGAATAGGTCCCACACGTGGTTTAATACTCCGAAAAATTGAATTTCTCGTTTCTAATCGGCCTGAAATTCCAGCCGACTCGGGCTTACGAGTGAGTCAGGTTCTCCTTAAAAGTGTTTCTAATGGCATATGGATGTTTTCGAGGGCAGAGTGCATTATGTTTCCGAACCGCAACCACAGACATTCATGTAAAATTCATCGGAACTCGAAACATGGACGAATTAACTGCCTTCTAAGACGTCGACATAACACGTACACATGGAGGTCACTAGACTTCACTGAATGAGTGGACCACTCGCAAAACCAAACTAGTAAATTATTGTCCCACATCGCGTTAGACTAATACTATTTGAGAATGGCTATCAATCATATGAGCTCCAATAGGCAAGACAATGCTAGGATCTCGGTAGCCTATGGAATATCTGCTAATCTTATGCGATTTAACCTAGTCTACTTACGTTGACAGTCCACATCAAACTACTCTCGTAGACTATCTTCCACAGTAGCGTCCCTTCAAATGTACTACTGTACTGCCCGAGAACTGTCAACCTTTTGTCACTTTTGCAGCAACCTGCCTCGCGGACTCTACTATCCTGCGTTTTCTGTAAACTGCAACTCGGCAATCACCGTCCACACCGGTCTCGGTGCTCCATCGACTTCGAGCAGTGACAGCGAATAAAACCACTGATTCCTCACTACCTATCACTGTCATTCATTGTTATCACTGTCCGGTCCGTATCTCTCTCCCTTTTCACCATATGTACTGCCAATTGATTTCATTAGAAACTTTTACTGTGAACAGAATCAGCTTTACCGTATCCACGAACAGGGATCCTGGCCACATTTGATGGATTGTGCTTCGTCAATCGCAACCGGTATTTTATGTACCTATTCTCTTCTGTATAAGAATACTCAATAAACATTACCAAATGCACCGATTCACACGTGTGCAAGACATTCATTCACAGATGAAATAGAATATGTCAAAAAAAATTATACGTGTTTCACGAAATACACTCAAATAGTTTGCAAAGACCACATAGAAGATGTATAAGAACAACAGAGCAGCGCAACGGATAAGATGTGTCGTTCTGGACCTTCTTCTTCATATTATCATCGATGTGGATAACTTAACCGTGGAACGGAAAACTGAACTGCATAGAGAAGAGCAGACATGTCCAATCTATTCGGAATTATTCAGACCGGAAGAGAGCACGAGAAAGAAAAACACATAAAAATTCAGAATGAGAGGATCGAGAACGATCCGACTACGCACGCATTACTCAGGACTCGAGCACGAAACCATCATGAAACGAGGGCGCACTATGAATGTCGGAACAACGGAGGAGTACTGTATGTGTGTGTGTGTGTTTTTGAGAGTGTATGTGGTGTGTGTGCAGTAAACATAAACATAAACACTTATATACGACGTGTACTTTTAATATACACGATGTATACACAAAATTCTGACGGGTACACAGATCAGCTGGACACTGAGATTGAAGCATACTCGTTTATTTGGTCGTCATCATCGTAACGAATTCTGAAATCAACTCTTGCCAGTGAAAAAACAGTGATGTTCAACAGCCACCATAAAGAACATATCAAATTGAAAAATACCGAACGGACACGTGACTGAAAATCAACGGTGCTCCGTGCCGTGTGTTATACACCAGCCCCCGGAAACGGTAATCGTGGTTCGATCTAACCCGGGATCCAAGTTTTGCAAATATCTCAGCATCGTTGTGGTTGTAATAAATTTATTGTTCTAAGCCTTACCTTCGTAATTGACTTGTCCATCACCATCGATATCAGCCTCACGAATCATTTCGTCGACCTCTTCATCGGTAAGTTTCTCACCAAGGTTTGTCATAACGTGGCGCAATTCAGCAGCAGAGATGAAGCCATTACCGTCCTTGTCAAACACCTGCGACATTTTCTATTAATGAAATTGTTTACAACTGACAGGTGAAAATAATGAATACAAAGTGATAGGGATGAAAGTGAAGAGATCCTACAAGTAGCAATGGCAGTTACTATTTATCTCATCATGAACTAACAGGACTAGGTGGTCGTCACATGCTTTGACTGCAAGTGCGCTAATAACGGTCACTAAGCTAATTAGGAAGAGTTTAACCGTTAACACGAACTGCGGCTTACATCGCCAATCATGCTCGAATACCACAAAGAGACCCTTGAAAAAGCAAGCTCTTTTCGAGCCCTATTCTCATTTCTATTCCTCTTCGTCACATATCCATGAAGTTTCGTAGAGATCTATAGACACCGTGATAGTTCCTCAAGATAAATTCATGCAACTGTGCGCAAGCCGAAAAATATGGGGAAAAAAGTTCGGAATGCCCCTTCTTGTTATGCAATCTTATTACCATACCCTAATTTAATCGATAAACCATGAAATTAAAAATGCCCCACTGGTTTAATATGTTTAAGACGGGAAATATGACTCTCGTATTCCGCAACCTGCATGAAGATAAAAGTAGGAATATTAATAAAAAAAAGTGTTTCATATGCGTTTAAAGCTGCAATTATACGTGTTTGCAACAATAAATGCTACCAAGATTAATACCATCTCCAAAACAATAAATCGGCAAACCCTGAATGCTTCGCGGATTTCCTCTTCGCTATCGGTATCCTTCATCTTCCTTGCCATCATTGTTAGGAACTCGGGGAAATCAATGGTGCCATTTCCTAGAACGGATGCAATATGTTAAACCTGGAGACAATGTAAGAAATGGATAGGTAAACCACACCATCAGCATCAACTTCATTGATCATATCCTGTAATTCCGCTTCCGTGGGATTTTGACCCAATGATCTCATCACAGTGCCCAACTCTTTCGTGGTTATGGTACCGTCACCATCTTTGTCAAACAATGAGAATGCTTCTTTGAATTCTGAAGTAAAAACATTGCCATAAAACTAGAAGATGTCAAAAGATCTCCAGTATTGCTTTTGCGACTTAAATAGTGATCTTAAAGCTCAAGCAGAAGACTTTCTGCTCAGAGCAAATGGTCTACTTTGACGAGCACTGACGGCAAAATCCCCGCTATTACACTGCTGAAGCTAACCATTTGATCACTCATGCCAGACTATGCATCCCACGATAATCGACTCAACTGAGATATCGAAAGAGGATAGCACGAATAAAACCAGTGGTAAATAATATAATGCATATGTGGTTAAGACACATATATGGGATAAAAACATTAACAAGGCTGAATAGAGCACCCAAAGCTAACGTTCATCCCAAATCACATGCCTCCAAACTTGCCACAATTTCTAAGTTAATTTTCAACAGAACACGAATATTCCTTTATAGTTAAGCAAAGAAGCGTGTAGCTCAGCGGTCGGAGACACCGTGCGATACAATATGGATCGATCTCCGTGCCCAAGGATCACCAAGCCTGCCCAACTGGGGTTGCTAAATTGGTACCAGATTTGTCTAGTAGGATAGCAGCACTGGCTCGATGCATCGCCACCACGAGTTATTGTGTAGACCAGATATGCATTATATCACCTTCAACGACGCTTAATGAAGTTGAATGCATGGCGCATCCCTTAGGGATTGATCAACGCCAACGCTTTATCCATTACTTTTAATTAAGCAAATACCTCACAACAACCCGAACTTTTTAGTAATATCTCAAAATATAACGGAAGCTTGTTATGATAACAGAAGAACTCAAGAAGAACAGACAATAAATGGACGAAAAGAACAGTAGAGTGGACTCCAAGAAAATGCAAACGTCCCCTTGAACGACCATCTTCACGTTGAGCAGGTGTGTTCGTAAACAAAGTTAATCAGCTGTACCCGCAGCTGCAATTGTTTTACAGATCACAGTATGAGACTCGCAAGCGCTATCATGCTCGAACAAGACCACCACCATGGTCTATGATTGCAAGAGAAAGGAACGAATGGCATATGTGCTGGGGTCCGCACAACTCGTGAAGACGGACCGTCCAAGTATCCAAGTAAGTAAGCAAGTAATGATAACAAACACTCAAAGCATGTATTACAAAAAGATTCACTTTCATTATAATCTTAGCTTATCTCTAATTACCTCTCATTCGCCATTCTACTCTTAGTAACCTGAAACAGTGAACTCCTGAAAAAACAGAAAAGAACACTAGTACCACACAGTAAGGACTTATCTTCAAAACAGAACGTATAAAGTCGCAGGACAAAACCGTGACTGTAAGACAGTAAATGCCAGTCACAGGACTACATCGTGGCTGTAAAACAGCAAGTACTCAAGTCATAGGACCACACCGTGACTGTATGACATTATATACTTTTACGAATGATCACCTTCATCTGATGGTTGATATTGAAACACTGTTGAAAGTTCTGAACTCAACTTTCACCAATATTGTTCACAGCCAAAGCAGGCACTCGTTTGGCGAATTGATGGCTAATTTGTGTAATATATTCTGACAGGAACCATTATTTACCATCTCGTAATGAGATCATTACTCGCTAAATTGGGATCAAAATATTCAGAGTTAAAACTAAGCACAGCGATTTCGCTCCACCGCACTGCATAACATTAAGGTTTGAGTCAGCGTCTGGAAAGTTCCCAAGTGATCCATGAAAAACCACAAGACTTGAAGGGAACCGCTATAAACAACCGCGGTGAGGCATCTCACTTCAACATAATCACCTCTATACTCTTTACATAATCCTAATACCTAGTGAAACATTCATGTGAATGGAATGGAACAGCACAACATACCGGCGATCTGCTCCTCAGTGAGTTGGTCGGCCATCGTCGCTACGCAGGCTCGAGATCAGACGAAGAATAATGAAAGGAATCGCAGAGATACACGAAGAATCCGAGAAGTCCTTACTGGAATACTAAAAATGAATAGAAACATATATATTTATATGTGAAATCACTTATGTAAACGCGACAAATACAACTAATCACAAAGTTAAGCGGCAAAGAACGTTACGAGTGTATGAGGAATTATCAGGTACAAGTGTGGGCAACCAAGGAACTTCCACAACGACGTCAAGGAAAAGGGAAAAACAAAGGATATCTATTTCCTAAGGATCCGAGAGATCCTTAATCATATAGTTGACGTTAATAAATGAAGCATCATTAAGCTTAAAATGCATCATCTCAACGAAGAAAAATATCCCCCGTTCTGCTTTGTCTATTACGAATCAGATATGCTTCATACAATTCCGTTTCCGTTTCACGGTTAACAATAACAGTGAAAGAAAGGAAAGATTAGAAGGCGCTGTCACATAAGACTTGATTACGAAATCCTGGCAAGAAGTTCGGTCTTACGACAAACACATGAGTGGCCGTAATCTGCTCATAAATGCAGAGTGCCTCGTCCACACTTTTCCGGATGACTTACCGTCCCGGTATAAAGCACAGTGTTACGAGACGGAAATGTTGACGGAGTTTCGGGCGAGAACGAACCGACCTCGACGCGTCGATATGGCGAATGAGACCGAGCCGAGTGATCCATCTGTTCGCCAGCGAATCGATACGGCCGGAAAACAGCGTGGATGCGATGCGGAACACGCGTCCAGCAACCGGTACGGCGTTTGTCGTGTATTTCAGGAAACACACTTCTTCACGAGAACACCCGAGAATTTTCGAGAAGATACTGGAAACACAGCACACACGTGCATCCGTTGTTTATGAGCTCACCTACATAAAGTAAAACCGGAACACGAAACCAAAAAACGATTGGAGGAATACGGCTATAAAGCCACCGCTAGCGAATAAATCAGCTACAGCGGGGATACTTCGACAGATGTAACAGGAGAGGGGAAGCACCCAACTAATCGATATTGTAGGAGATCAACGACCAGATGAAAAAGAAGGAAAGGAAGAAAAAAAAGACAACCAGGCATTACGACGATCAGAGAAGCGTAAGGAAAACGTACGACTAGCCAGGCTTTGTCTGGCTTCTCTGTGAAAATAGAAGCAAATCGAGCGTGCTGGGCGAAGAATCCGTCGGCGGCGGTGGTGTGCCATACTGGTAACCAGGCGCACGCAATTAATCTGGAACATTGCAATGCGCCGCGCATTCCCGCCATTTCCGATAAGCTTCAATTTCGCCGCACTCCGGAAAGACACGGAAATCGATCGATGCGGACGGTCCCGACGAGAATGCCTGATTTCGGCGATATCACACTAGCGGTTGTAATCATGCGTGTGCTTGTGTCAAGATGCGGTCGGGCACTCACTGGAGTGCAAACGGTTATTAGTCGAAGGAGTACAGCCGAGCTATTTTCGGACATCTTCGATTCCTATTTCTTGCAAACTTTGGCCTACATAATTGTTAAAAACCCTCCAGGAAAGAAAAGACTACTCCGCCCATCGCTGGCAGTTTGTAAACAAATGAACCAACTTTTAAGTTGGCGCTATTCGCTGTCCTGTTTTTTTTTGCCTGGAAATGCTGTTTAAACCCAGCTGAGAAGCAGCGAAACAGGGACTTCTTCCACGGCGTACTTACTGAAACTCAATACACTTCAACAGTGTTGGATTACAAATGTGAAACCGAATCAGAATGTCAAGGCGTTATAGAACTGGAGGTAGATAAAACACCCGTGAAGCTGTCAGACGTCAGACACCAACAGGACAAAACGGGTTCGAAGTGACGCCTCGAGATGGCGACCCGGGAGGTTTCGCCACAAAGCAACAAATGATAATATGATGCAGTAATAGACATTTCAACTATGATGTACGAAAAACACGAGAGCAGTTGGCAGTGAGTCACGGGCACAGAAATAGGCACGACGAATCGAAATTGCATACTTAGACGCCCACCTCCCAAACTAACCACCAATTACGGGGCTCCATCTGAATACCTGCGCGGATCCGCAACTTCAAATACCGGATTCCGCACTTAAGGGCAACTTTGGGCGAATACTTACTAATGTAAAGTGGGGAAACACGGGTGCTCGAAAACTTTTCACGAACGGGAGCCGTCGACGTGGTCTCTGTTTACGTAAGACTCCAACAAGGTGCAAACAGAAGCGCGACACGTCGTCGTGGTCACGAGCGGACCGCATCGGCCGCTCGGGAACTGCAGGCCAACCGGTACGGCCGCAGCGCGGACGGACGGAAAAGGCTCGGCCGTGGCGGGCGGCGGGGCGGTCCGCGCAGTCCGCGCATCGGCCGCGCATTGCGCCGCTGGTGGCCGCCGGCCCTGGGCCGCCGTCCGATCGCGCCTGGGAGGTGCTGAGGTGTGGGCTCTTCTGGTGTGGTCGAGGCGAAGACTAGGACACAGCACTGTACTGTGTTGGTCCGTTCGTGATGACACCTAATTTTCGTCCATTACGGACTTGTTGCTTTTTTGACAATAGTCAGTAATTTTTCGGTAACTGCAGGACACAACGAGTTGTGAACACGACATGATTATAAAAGAGAATTTGCTGTATCGCTCCGTAGATGCGAATGATACGTCTGCTGTTATTTAGTATGTGTTACTATGGAGAGGCTCGTTTAGCGCAGTGCCTAGAAGTGCACTGAAATACACATGTGGCCCATGTTCAGATCCAGCTCCGAAGGCCCAACAAGCCTTCTATACCTACGAAGTTGGCAAAGTGGTACCTGACTGTCTGGGAGGGTATCAGCACTGACTTGAAACATCGGTAGCCCACCGCGAATCACTGTATTGGCCAGATATGCATTCAATCAGCTCCAAACGGGCTTAATGAAGTCGAATGCATGGCACATCCCTCAGGGACTGATCAAAGCCGGGAGCTTTATCCTTTATCCTTTATGTTACTATGGCATGTCATACAAACATTGCTATCTGCTCACACATTATATGGAACAGATGTGGCTCGTTAAGGCGATTGAAAATGAAATAACATTCAATTATTGGTCGAATTACTAGCCTAGGACACAGCACTGTACTGTGTTGGTTCGTTCGTGATGACACCTAATTTTCATCCATTACGGACTTGTTGCTTTTTTGACAATAATCAGCCAATGAACTCGTCCGAGGAAAGGTTCTTTCTGCACTTCTAAGTGCGGAATAGAGCTTTTCCCGGCCTGACGCTTGCCACAATATCTGTGTTGGGTAAACTATCGACTGTTTGTAAAAAGCATTGGAAAACGGTTCAGTGCACCAAAATAAATCATGAGGAAGAAAATAGCACTTATATGTCTCATACCGGCTATTTCATGAACAACGTATGGAAACGGCAGTGTTCACGTCATTGCAAATAGGTTAACGAAATCAAGAAATGGCAAGTGGTGCGAAACATCCATTTCCTACGCTAAATAAGAAGCCACAGAGTGGCTATTATCGGTTTCCAAGGGAAGCACACGTAACGAACATTCAACACGTTAATGAGAGAAGATAATAAAGCCTCGCGATGCAGCCGATGGCGCGCGCTCACGAACTGAACCATGGTGTTCTCAAGGCAACGAGAGAAGACTGCTTGGACTTGCAGCTTATATGAGAAGGGCTCGTCTAGGTAACTAAGTATCTAAGTAAGTAAGCAAATGATAGTTAGTGGGAATCTATGAGAAGTGCACCAGCACATGGAGACGAAAGGCCAGATTGGGTGTGATGGCAAACGAATTCATTTCTCCTGTAATGCGGCATTTTCAGCGAAGTTTAACGACGACGCCGCATTGCGCCGAAAACTCGCGGCGGCCACCCAGCTGACGGACGCACCGCGAATTCATATTCAGTTTTTCGTTGGAAAAGAATACATCATACGGCCAGCACTCGCTCGATGCACTTGTGAAGCCGAGACTTTTCCCATTATCTCCACTTTTTTCTCTTATTTTTTTAACACCAAACCTACAAAATGGTCTAAATGTACTTTCAAACAGGATGAGTGTTTCACTTTTATACGCTAAAACGCAATCATCAATGTTGTTAAGTGGAGCATAGTACGAGCAAAAGAAGCAGACCCGTTATCATGATCTGGGATTGCTTCTATTCGTCGGTCTTTGATTGTTCTGACGCTGCAATGAGGCTACTCATTACCTGTTGCATCGTGTGGTGTTGATGTTTATGCATGAAGTAAATACGTTCTAGATAATGGTACAGTTTCACTGAAAGAAGATAAAACTTTTGATAAAAAGTACAAAATAGCAATTGTAGGGCGAGTCTAGCGCATTGGTCGGAGGCGTCCTGCAAGACACATGAGATCGATCCCGGTCCCACAGCCCACTATGCCCCCCATCCCTCCGGGTTCGGCAAATTGGTATCAGACTTGTCTAGGAGGATAGCAGCACTGACCCGATACATCAATGGGTCACCATTAGTCAATGTAATGGCCAGACATGCATTCAATCACCTTTAGCGATGCTTAATTCGAATTCATGCCGTATCCCTAGGGATTGATCAACGCTGGGAGCTTTGTTCTTTTATTCTTATCGGAATTACCTAAACTTTTATGAGTTATCTGTATCCCCTTTATTGCTTAAAGATCTTCATCTTAGGATATCATTCTGGGTTCACAACTAGTAACTATAAAAATTTGCGTTTTGGGTGTCAAGGTAAGTTAGAGGTCCTCTGGTAGTTCTCTTCACATCGATACGGAGATAGGGGTTGACGTATGAAGCCTGAATTTTCTCGTCTCAACTAATGTATTCCGTTAGCGGAGTTCGGATGAAAATCACCTATTCATATAATTACTTTAATATTAATGGAATAGGTTCAGAAATAATTATTTGGTTAGACGAATTCGAAATAACTGTACTTGAAGTTGTGTATTCTTATCGAACAAAGTGATTGTTTGGCTAATTCTTGTTTGCTCTAGAAATTGGCTTTAATAAATGACTACGAAGCTGAGACATTAGCTGTTTCCTTGGAGCCTTTTTTACACTGTTGGTGAAATTCAGTCCTTAGTTATCCGAATTGGCGATAAAAGCGCTGATGATGTCACTCATGGCAATATATTCCGTGATGGTTTTCGCCCAGGATTTCTAGGATATTGGTCGTTTTGGACTGGCATCAATGACGGTGTCCAGTTATGGGTATGAAATGTTTGTTTGCTTCGAGCGCAGATGTGCTGCTCTCCTCCGGACGTCGATCATCAGGTCCCGCCTCCGTCACCTCCCGACACCAGTCGAATGACGTACGCTGCTTCTCCATCTATAATTTGTCAGGCCGTAGACGTGTGAAAGGTTTTATTTGGTCTTTGACGTGCTATTGTGGAGTCCGGACGGAATATTCAGCAATTCCATTTGGAGGAGGGGCAACGTCATGCCATGATGACAGAGAGATGTAGCAGGCGCATCCAGTGACTCCTGAAAATGATTCTCTTGATTAACCGCAGCCCTGAGCGATACTTCATGTTGACCACTCTCTACTTATTGAATTGGTAATCGGATGATTTCGAAAAACGTCAGTATTCGTCAGCTTCCGAAGAAGATGTGCGAGGCATAAGAATGTCGAGTTATATTTCGCATTCGAAAATACGTTTTAGAAAAAACTACCTTAGTTCATCGTTGAAAGGACCGTCATTGCTACTGATTATTTGAGGAAATGTAGCGCGGTTAGTGCAGCGGTTAGAGGCGTCCTGTCATGCATACATGGCCATTCGTTCGATCCCGACTCCTGGCTTCATCAAGCTTTCCACATCTCCGAGTTCGCTAAATAGGCGCTAGACTTGTCTGAGAGGATAGAAGCACAGACTGACACATCGATAGACCACGACAAATCATTG